AACTTGTGACATTAATCAGCCCAGCCCATTTGAGAAGAAGCTGGAATTCACATGACCATTTAGCCCCTAATTTGAATTCCTTGGCCATTGGCGCCATGAAATGCAATGAATCAAGCTGTTTCCCGTCTTCTCCAAACTTGCAAAACTCTACACAGCTTAAAATCAGTCCATGCACATTTATTAGTATGTGGATCCATTGCCTCATCTGACCTTGTTCTGAACAAAATCATTCGTCTTTACACTCGTTTCGGCGCCACAAACTATGCTCGCAAGGTGTTTGATGAAATTCCTGAACGAAACCCTTTTCTTTGGACTTCAATGATTCATGGGTATGTTGAAAATTCTCAGCATACTCAAGCTTTTTCTCTCTTCCTCGATATGCATATTGGCGATGTTACGCCTTTGAATTTCACTATATCATCTATACTTAAGGCATTAGGACGGCTGAAATGGTCGAGACATAGTGAGGGGATGTTAGGGATTATATGGAAATGTGGGTTTGGTTTTGATTTACTTGTGCAAAATTCAGTGATTGACTGTTTCATGAGATGTGGGGAAGTTGATTGTGCCAGACGAGTATTTGATGGCATGGAGGAAAAGGATGTTGTTTCTTGGAATTCAATGCTATCGGGGTATGTGACTAATGATAAACTCGAAATTGCAAGAGAGTTGTTTGATAGCATGGATGAGAAAAATGTTGTTTCTTGGACTAGTGTGATATGTGGCTATGCTAGGAAGGGAGATATGGAGGAAGCTAGGAATCTTTTCGACACTATGCCTACTAAGGATATGGCTGCTTGGAATGTGATGATTTCAGGTTATACAGATGTTGGTGATATGCAGACAGCAAATTCGCTGTTTCAGGCAATGCCTGTTCGTGACACTGGAACATGGAATTTGATGATATCAGGGTACTGTAAGGTGACCGAGTTAGAAAGAGCAAGGGACTACTTTGAACAAATGCCCTATAGGAATGTGGTGTCATGGACTATGATGATAGATGGTTATGTTAAGTCTGGGAAATTCCATGAAGCAAGGTGTTTATTTGATGAAATGCCTGAGAAAAATCTTGTTACATGGTCAACCATGATTAGTGGTTATGCTAAGAACGGGAAGCCTTCTGCTGCTTTGGAACTGTTCAGAAACTTCAAAAAGCAAAATCTTGAAGTGGATGAGACTTTTATTTTGAGTATAATCTCAGCTTGCTCTCAATTAGGGATAGTAGATGCAGTTGAGTCAGTTATGAGTGGTGATGTAGGATCCAGATATTTTTCTGATACACGTGTTGTTAACAGTTTGGTAGACCTCTATGCAAAATGTGGAAATATTGAGAAAGCCTCGCAAGTATTTGAAATGGCAGATAAAAAAGATTTTTATTGTTATAGTACAATGATTGCTGCGTTTGCTAATCATGGCTTAGTTGAAAAAGCGTTACATTTATTTGAGGATATGCAAAGAGAGAATATAGAGCCTGATGAAGTAACTTTCCTCGCAGTTTTGACTGCTTGCAACCATGGAGGACTTATTGATGAAGGGAGGAGGTACTTTAAACAAATGACTGAAGAATTCAGAATTCAGCCCTCAGAAAAACATTATGCATGCATGGTAGATATCCTTGGTCGTGGTGGGTTCTTTGAAGAGGCTCATGAGATGATATTGAGTATGCATGTGGCTCCCACCTCAGCCGTTTGGGGTGCAATGCTTGCAGCTTGCAATGTTCACCGCAATGTCCAGATGGCTGAAGTTGCAGCGTCTGAGTTATTCAAGATTGAGCCTGATAATTCTGGAAATTACATTCTCCTGTCCAATATTTATGCTGCTGCAGGAAGATGGCATGATGTAGCTAGAGTAAGGGCACTGATCAGAGAGCATCATGTGAAAAAAAACCGGGGGTCTAGCTGGATTGAGTTGGATTCTGCAGTGCACGAGTTTGTAATGGGAGATGTGTCACATGTGGAAGTAGACAGGATATGCTTCATATTGAGTCTACTAAATGAAGATATGAAGCTTTCAGGATATACCAAAGATACAGATCTGCATCCAATTTCGACACGGTACCCCTCTTATCTATCTCTTTCAAGTGATACTGAAATGGATGAGGAACTGTTTTGAGTGATCTCTGCCACAACATACCGAGGTACTTCTCCCAAATGTAGAATTTCAGCATTAACGTCCTTAACTTAAATGATGAAAATGTTTAGGATTTATAACCTGGCACTTAATAAAATATTATTGAAACAGGCGTATATGTATGTCAAAAGTTTAATTCTTACACCCATAGTCAACCTTGAAAATTTCTTGCTTCTGAAATCTGAGGAATATTGTATACTAGTTTCCTTTGTCGCTGTTATAAGTTGCCTATATCTTTTTGGTGAACTTAAACCTAACTGAGTGAAAGTTGAGGAAGATATCTGGAGAAAAAATAAGAATAAGAATCGGTCACCAAGCCAAGGGGGAGGGGAATTTTGTTAACTTTTCTCTTTTTTAGAATATGGTTTCTGTACAAAAACTAAATTGTTGAAAGAGATCTGTATGGGAACGACAAACATATTTTGTATTTAAAAAATAAAGAAAACGATATAAAATTACTTTACATGATATACTTAAAGCTAAAGAAACAAAGAAAACCAAAATTCATTATGTTCTTAGGGAGCTCCGGCCTTGCTAGATTTCATGGGGTGTGATATGATACTTGCTCTTGGAAGTTAAGAATGTGTAATGCTTAGTAGAAGGTGTAAGACATTACTTATTCGTTCATTGTAAAAACTAAACGACATTAGCCTGTTTGGTTGGTCATTGGTGCCATTGTTGAGCTCTTTCGTTTGCTAGAAACTCCTTATACCAGAAGTTCCACAAAACTTTTCCAAAATAATAATGTGACTTTCACCTGAAAAAAAGGCTTCCCACACACACGTAGCTCTTCATTCCAATGGAATGAAAAAACTCAAAACTAATGGTTTTCATGTCAGTGTTTCGACATCGAGCAATGAGAGAAGAACAGTTGCTAGAATCTTGAAGAGTTTAGTCATGTATATCTGGTTTTAGGATGCTAAACATAGAAGTGATTAAACATATAGTGCAACTTAGTAAGTCATTTCATATCTTTAGGATATATGTTTTATAAAGAAGATTGATGTGAATTAGTAAAACGTAAAAAATAATTAGATCTAGTTACCCTTACGAATTATTTTGGTCAAGTGTGAATAATGACTTTACAATTAAAACCAGAAGTATTAGGGCATTTAGATAATTAGGGAATGATAAGATCAGAGATATAAAAATCAATATTATAATCAGCAATAATAATGATCAGCTCATCTCCCCTTTTCAGCTAACTTTCTTTTTGCTTAATATAGGTAGCACAAGGCTCCAAGCTAACTTATTTTTTAAGCCTTAAAGTTGTTACAAAATTAAATAATTACACTAGTAAAGCACAAATAATCTTCTCAAAAAAAAGAAAAACCTTTAATAATTCGATAAATCATGTCTTGTGTCCACCAACTAGCAGCTAGTATGATGATTAAGGATACTTTAATCTCTAAAACCCCAACCCACAAACATAATTATCAAATGACAAAAAAAAATTAATCAAAGGACTAAGCAGCAATGATAAAGTTAGATTACCAAAACTCAAGGCTAATTAATTATACATACATTGGAATGGGAATCTTTCATTATTTTACTTATCCATGTGTGAATAAGGCTATTTGCAAGAATGGCATGTTCATTAATGGTGGACTTTAAATTAGTGTTTGCTTAATTAATGCATTCGTTGCACCTGTACTTGACTAATTCAGACCTTTGACCATGTTTATTTATCTCTCTCATCTTAATTACTTCTCATGGAATTGTAATTATACTAAATCCCTAGCCAATGTATCTATTAGTACTTATTAAACACTTTTGACCAAATACTGCAGAATTTCCCTCTTATGGTCTTATTAAATACTTAGCTTCAAATGATTTCTCCACCTCAATTAATTTGCCTAAATAGCTTTTAAAATATTTTACAAAACAATCCATCATAATACATCTGGAAACAGAGGCAAGCTTTCCCCACTTGTGCTTTCTTTCCGATAGTTATTAATCTCGATTTTAATTTATTTTTCTGATAGTTACTTTACATGAAGTTTAAGAAAGTGTATTAGATTTCTAAATTTTGAACTAAAGATATGTGAATGTATCAAAATGTCCTTTTATGTGAAAAGTTAAAATTAAAGAATGGAGGAAAATATCAAATGAACTAGAAAAGTAAATAAGACAAACAAATTGAACAAAGAACTAAATAGGAAAGTAAAACAAAAAAAAATTGAAACCAATGAAATAGTAATAATGAAGTGAATATCTTGATGCTTTGATTTGAGACTATACCATAAAAATAGACCTTTGATTGTTCTAGCAACATCAACTACTGTAAACTATGCTTCCAAAGGTAGCAAATACCCCTATTGTCAAATTGTACATGTATGGATCTGAATCTGATGATGATATTATTGCTAGCCTTGTTTGAGTTTATTTTTTTCCATACTAAATAAGTTGTTGATGAATGTGTTGATTTATGGTAATGTTAGAAGAAACAAATGAAGTGCATAGAACTTTAGATAATTATCCCATTTGAGAACAATAAAGAGATGTGTTAAAACCCGTAGATTAAAAGTAGTACAAAGGAAAAAAACTCATTACATTTGAGAATACTGTGTCTATACAATTGCTTTCAGAGCAAATACATTCTTCATACTTCATATGCTATTTAACACACTGCAGGATCTATAAAAACCACCATGGTTTCTAAAAGCCTGCACAACATATAGGAATAAGAGTTTCATTTTTTTCAACCCCTTCAAAACAAAAACTGCTCTTTCTTCTGTTTTGCACTTCCCAATCAGTGTAAAACAAATTTCCAGCTTCTTTGCAATTCGACAACCCAAGCTCAAAAAGACCCCTTTTTTTTTCCTGTTTAAAACAGAGAAGAATTCATAATCTTGTTATTATTCTTCTTCTCAAACTCCACATCCTAATCCTCTTGCTTCTGATCCTTTCATTATCCTTAGCCTCTTACATGATGATAAGAACATTCTGAAATAGAACCCCAAATTAGAAAAATCCAAAAAAAAAAATGGTGATTCCTAAATAATAAAGATTCAAGATTCAGTAACTTACTCAAAAGGAACATCTCCAACAAGCATCAAGTCACCATCTTTATCTTCATAAGCAGGAGCAAATTCAGACCCTTTATACCCTTCCCTTTCTGAATATTCACCGATACTCAGCTTGAACATTTTCTCTAATGCCTTCAACAGTTCTGGATAACCCTTGTACAATTTCAGATCAATTTTTCTAAGATAAGGGGCTCCATCCATACTAACTTTCACATACATCCCACATTCAGCTTCTGCTTTCTTTGATGGAAAGCTATTTTTCCTGTTAGCTCTTACTGGTGGCCACCCTACTATTTGTGTCCTGCAAAACCATTTTATCATTTTCAAAGGTTTAATCCTTTACTATCCATAACCTAATAGAAAATTCTTCCATGATTTTTAAAAGGGAAAAACATCAACACACTTACTTGGCAACAGGTGGAGTTTTGGGATCTGAAATGGAGTTTGATTCACAATCTTCATCCTCAGGCAAAGCCCTCTTGTTATTCTTGAAATGAAATACAATTTCTTTGTCAGATTCTTCATCTGTCCTCCCTGGTAAACCCAATCTAAGCTCTGTTGCCTTGAGATTCAAATCTTTCTCATGAGCCAAAACACACTCCATTTTTCTTTTTCACAAAATTGGATTGCAATTCAAGTTTCCTTCTCCAAAACTGATGATTTTTCTTCTCCAAGATTGGTTTGAAGATGCTAAATGGTAGCTTGCTGTAATATATAAGGAGAAAGTGAAATAAGAGAGCTGTATATAGAGGGTCCACCCGTTGGTACGCAAGATAGAGATAAAGATATTAATTATAATATTAATATTTTATTAAATATGAAATAAGATAATACAAAAAATATATTTATAAAATAATTTAATTTGTATAAGATATTGGAAAAAAAAAAGGGACAAGACGAGCTAAGTTGTCGGGTGGAAGAGTTGCAGTATTGAGGCAAGTGATTAATATATTTGGGGGACAAGAATTGTACAAGCTCAGCTGCCCATGTGGTCCTGTGATCAAGACTTAAAATAGAATTAACGGTTAAGATGCCTTTTTGGAATCTGTGGGACCAAAATCAGGACCGTCAAATTCTGCTCAATTAAGATAAGCACTAATACACAGTTAACAAATAGTAATGAGTATGATTATCTATGTTTATCCCCAAAACTTACAAATCACAATTAAGATAAGCATTACTCAATTTGAATTTTCAGATTTTACTAAAAGTAAATTCCTATTTTTTTGAAATAACTTTTCTTCTTCGACAATCTTAATGATAAAGTTTTCGTGTATATATGTTAATATTGCTGTTAAAATAAAATTATATTATTTAATAGTTTTTTATCTTTAAAATTAAAGCGATAAATAGGAATAGTACTACTATTTAGGGGTGGGGCTATAAGTAATCGAAAAATTACATTTTCATATATATTTAAAATTATATGCATATAATAAAAATTATATGTAATAATAAATTTTCTGACTCTGTCATTAGTACTATTACCAATATAATGACAAGTTGACAGTTGGGGTGAGTAATGGGCAGTAGGGTAGTGTGGGGGAGAGAATTGGGAAGGAGAAAAGAAAGCTACCATGTGAGAATTTGGATTCGAATTTTACTTTGATATCAAAATTATTTTTATTAGGAAGCGATTGAGATCTTAATATAAAATAATATATGGATATTATTAAAAGAATGTAGCCTACAGTTGCAATTTGTAGCCACATAAAGTGAATCGATAGGGAATATCGTTTTCGTTATTAATTTCTCTCTATTTTTGTGTCAGTCATGTAACCGTGCACTTATTCTAGCTTCTAGTATTTCTAGGTACGTCATTGATTGCGAAATTTGACCCTAATTCCAGGGAATTTTATATTACTAGTGTAATATTATTTTTTTTGTCACTTTGTACGCATAGAATTAATAATATCTTTTTACTTTATATTAAAATTAAGTAAAAAAAATAATAGATTTTAGTAGAATGAAAACTATAATAATACAATAATCGAGCTATAAAAAATAATATATTACAATATAAATTGAAGGATAAAAATCTACGAGGATAATACTAAGATTACTAATATAATCTCAAATAACAAAATAACAGGCTATCTCACGTATTAATTTTCTATTCTAATTTATATCTTTCACGCTTTTCTAACTAAAATCACGTTATCTTGATTTTTGAACGTACTTACCTCTACCTTTCATACAACTATCTATATACCTCTACTTTTATTAATTATGTTTTCTACATTAAAATATGTTTGTGAAGTTGTAATTTTATGTGAAAAATAAGACCATCATGTTGTTGCCATCTTGAGAATTATTCTGAAAAGATTTTTTTTCCCCTGAATCTGAGGAATCACAATAACTGAATATATATTCTTCTCTTTTCTAAGCAATATATCAAATCATCAATATCTACACTTGTTATCATGAGATATGCCTTTGACACCGTCCAAGGGATACACCACTAACTTTCTTAACACCCCAAGTGGATTTGTTTTTATAACATTAAATAAAACAAATAATAACTTTTGAAGGTGGGTACTCTATTAAAAATTTCACAAATTTTGATAAGCTAAAAGATATTTTGAAATCCAAAGTTAGCAAAGTAGTGTGGTTGGGAACAAGTTATTTCAGAATTATTATTCTGGAATAGTTATTTTGGTATAATTTATTTTATCATGTATATGAAATAACTTATTCCATCACTATGATATAAATAATGGATCTCGTTAATTTTAAGGCAACTTTCACATATAGCAAACATAAAATTTAAATTTGTATGCTATAGCAAAGTTTGCATAATTGCGTTCCATAGCAAATATATAAATGTATAATTCGCTATACATATACAACTGAAAGTTGTGCCCATTTCGCTATATATATATTTACAAAGAAGCAGTTGTATAATTCGTTGTTTCATCTTTAGATTTGTACACAATTGAATCGAATTGTATAAAACGAGAAAGAGAGAAATTATATACAATTTGAATATGTATAAAACGAGAAAGAGAAAAAGGCAAAATAGACTTGGGCAGGAAATATATAGTTGAATCGAATTGTATGAAACGAGAAAGAGAGAAATTATAATCGAATTGTATAAAACGAAAAAGAGAGAACGACAAAAGAGACTTGGGCAGGGAAATATTTGTATTGTATAATTATAAGTTTATAGGACGGAGATATGTTTATTTGCATGTATATATACAATTTTCTCTCGCTTTATACAAACAGAAACACAATTTATACAATTATATTGTATAAAGCGAGAGAGGCAAGCGACACTGGCAAATAGTTTGCTAAGGAACACAAATAAATCAAACTGTTTGCTAAGGAACATAAATAAATCAAACGATAGCTACTGTATTTATTTTACATTATTAATTTGTTATTCTATACAATTATCCCTTAATTTTACGCGATCAGTCGAATAGATGAAAATTGGGTTTGTCGAAGCTGAGCCCAAACTGAAGCTATACATTGGAACCTCTAAAAGATATAGGCTAGAAAGCCCATCAACTTAGGGCCTGTTTTTTGTATGGTAGAAATGATATTGGCAAAATTATCTGAGGTAGTAGTATCTTTTATAAGGTCGAACTCATAAATAGATCTCTAAACTTGTTAGGTTTTTTTCTATAGGTATTTCAACTGTGTCATTTTCCTATTGAATCATTGAAACACTCATAATTTGTTCATTTTAAACATTGTTGGCTGATTTTGATCAGCTTTTCTAAATAGATGCCTTCAATTTTGCGTTGACTCATAATGTAGTTATTAAAAATCTAAAAAATTAAGTGTTTTAATTCTCATATTTTAATCGCCTAATTGTAAAATGAGACGGATAGAATAATCAGATAAGCTTTCATTTTCTGGTAATTATGGCTCCCAACAGATATGCCTTTGATAATTGAACAATCGTTGCATGATCTCAAGTGAGTCAAATATGAACTCAAAGTAGTGGTGGTGAATAGAGCTCAATGAGATAAGAGCAACATCAATAGTGATGATACAAATATTTATCTTGTGTTCTTCCATATACAATATAGCTTTTTTTTCGAGTATTTTCTTGTGGCCACACGATTTCTAAATGTCATTATTCTTAAGAAAAGTTTGAAGTGACAGTACTTGTCAAAGAAAGTGGAAATTAACTAGTTTTGGATCATGTTCCAGACTTGTAAAATATTTTTTTTTAAAAAAGGTGATTGTATATCATGTGAGCTAGAGTTTGGAGTAGGCATAAAGGGTAAAAGATGAAATGTGTGTATTGAAAGAGCAGAGAGAAACACAATTAATGTGAAATGTCAATGTAACTTATTTTTGCTATTTTTATAAAGGGAGCTTGTTTATGTCATTTTTACAAAACTTAATTAGCAATTGAAAATATATTCTAGCTTTTTTAATCAATAGATTATATTTACCCTTTAAGTTATATTTCAATGTTCAAAATTACTCTTTTCATCAAATTATTGAATTAAAAATTCTCATCTTATTAATGAAAGTTGTTGAATATCATGTGGATGCCACATTGTACACCAATAGGGTTCCACTATCATATATTGGCGTGAAACCCTTTTTTCTTTTAGTCTATATGGCAGTGAAGCTCTATTGGCGTGCAATGTGACATTTAACAACTTCTGTTAATAAGAAAAGCACTTGTGACCCAATAAATTGACAGAAAGGATAGTTTTGAGCCAGATACAATTTAAGAGTAAATATAAACTATTTCGAATAATTCAAGAGTGTTTTTCTTTACCATTTTTCGTTCTGTATAAGTAAGAACAATAATATATGAAGTGTGGATCTGAATAAGATGATTTAACATCTATTATACATGTATAAAATAATTTAAATGGGATTATGTGATTTAACTATATGTTATACGTACGAATCCGAAGTCAAAACGGTAACTTTTCCCCTCAAACAAATATAAACCGTATATCATTAAAAAAATTAAACCAAAAAGTAAAATTGCTTTTCAGAGAGCGATATCTTTCGAACAAAACTAACAACTGTTAACGTGTCGATTAAAATCGTTGTTGGAACTGCAATTTTGCCAAAAGAATTTTTTTTTAAAAAAATATACTGAAATCCCTGTCCATATAGTGTTTTACCTCAAACTTTTCTTTTTGAAAAACTGAAATCTCTTCAAACATTTTATTTTGTTTTGAGAAATTATAATCGCTGTCAGCTATTTTCCTCAATTCTTTTTTTAATTTTTGCTTATTGATTTATAAAAGAAAAGTTCAAATAAATTGTGAGGGGAGT